CATACATGATCGTATTTCTTTATGCAAATCTTAAAAAATATGTAAGAATATTATTATCATTTTATTCCGCACTGTAACTATGCCACCAAAGAAGTCGCATAACTAAGACATTCTGAGATCTGTTTCTCAAAAATTACGAGTACATTCTAATATAATAATAATTATACACAACTCGAATATATATATTTAGGATACAAAATTCCTTTTTATATGCACAAGAAAGTACAAAAAAATATTGTGTAAATTGGCAGTTTTTTCTATAAATTTCTATAGGCTTTTGCGCATTAGGATTTAATCTTGATACATTTCATAAAATACATGGAATATAATGAAATTCGAAAAAATGTAATTATAAAGAAAAATTCACATGTAACATTAAACGATCTGATAATATCATCGGTGAAATTTAGATTTTTAAGGACGTTCTCCGAAAAAATCCATTTTTTTTAGATTTTTCTAAAACTTAAAAAAACTTACAGAATAAGCTTGTTTTAGTGTCCCATATGTGCTTTAAAACTCAATACCCGGAGCAGGAATAAAAATCGAAACATTTCATTTCAAAGTTGGAGCGTTTAAAATACACACACACACACACACACACAGAATCCCTATCTAAAGCTTATTCGAAAGTGGTCTTTTTATTCTGTAAAAAAGTTTCTTTTAACAATTTTTTGAAACAATGAGACATAAAACTTGATATCACAAGGAATAATACGAAATTTGTCTGAATATGGTTTCCGGTATTCGTTTTTAAAAATCATGAAGCGAAGTAAGTAAAGTCACTATTTTTTCGACCGGCGGCAATAGCGAAGATAGGAGGCATTTTATATTGTAAAAAAAACTTATAAACACTGTATAAACACTTATGGAATATCTTGTACTATATAAAAGTGAAATAAATTTTCATAATGGTGAGCACTAATGTGCTCATTAGATTGAGCATAACTGCAATCAGAGAACGTTCTTAAGTTAAGACTCTTATATCGATCAAATATAATGTATCTCAGTTTTTTTGCATATTACGAAACATACATGCATGTAGCTCACGGAAAGTAGTTCAAGACTTTCAACTTATTCTTATGATACGATTATCATTCGTTATCCATAATTTTGTAGATGATGTTTTTTTAAACCCATCACACAAAATGACATAGGCTGCATAAGCATATTGTCTAATGAGCATCTTATGTAAATAAATATGGCGTCTTTATGTCAAATATTTATTGCTTCAGTGGCCTTATAATATAACGTTTATGCCATTCGTGTGTGGTGGACTTTATTTGAAAGATAAATAGAGAATTTCTGTGCGTATCGTCTTCGACGATAAATGAGGGCGCAAACCGAATTCGCGCATTCGTTACTAGTGTTTGCGAAACAATTTTCAGAAGATGAGTTATCTGAGAGCATTTAGATGCTTATGATGATAGATTAATTATCTGTTACTCCAGATAATTCGTGATCACGAATATGGATGTGAAAATTAATTTTTCGCACAAGTATCTTACATAGCAGGGAGACAGTTGTTGACTCGTTGATCATTGTTAACATTTTTAATAGGATGGCGTGTTGGTGATAGATTAGAAAGATTCAATATTTTACCAAAACTTTACATAATATATTTATGTAATGTAAAGAATAATTCAACAAATGTGACAAGAAAGATTTACGTTATGAATCCGATAAAGTACAAAGTATCCTCCGTATTTCGCAATCGCTTCGCGCGTGTCTTAAGCCGGGTTCAAGCTAAATAAGGGGGCACAAACAAACGCGAATAAATAACTTGCTTCAACGATGCACGAAAGACGACTGTGATTGAAGTAACTTTTTCGTTCGCGCTTATTTGCGCTTGCTTGTTTCGTCTGATTACAGACAGCGTAAAAAAGATTAGTAACACAATCAATTTCGAAATCGGAGAATATGATCAACACATCGTATAAAGATCATTTGTACGTTTATGCGATTACGAGCCTTCAAAGAGCTCGATCGCGCGAACAGGTTGGTCTTGCGATCCTAAGAATTGTTGTCCGTGTGCCTCTTTTATTTAATATACGTTTTCTTTATCCAGCAATGATTTCACAGGTATATTTCACTTTCACTATTTTTGCAGCTTTAATACTTATTTTACATAGTATTTAATTCATACAACTTTTCAGTACGGATCGACAGGATCGACCTGTCTGTTGCGCCGTGCGGGACCATACTCATAGATTATATAAACGTCTCTTTTCCATTTTTTTATACACGTTTATACATTTATATATACACTTATGTATAGAAATATGTATATAGGATGTCTACCAAATTATTGCGATTTCTTTCATCTGCGGGCTTTTTGAAATACTTCAAAGCTAAAGGTCATCAACACAAATATTTATTAATTTATTTTTTAATGAGTCAATTAAAAAATTTATAATTAAATTCATTTTATTTTGTAATGTAGTTTACAAATTTAGAAAATGAAAAAATTTCCTTCAGAAAATTCAAAATAAGTTTTACTTATTATGGATATCAAAAGCATGATTGTCACCTTTTGATTATAAGTGTTCCGCTGAAGATTGAGTGCCACTATCAAAATTTTAATATTGTTACAGTGTTTTCTTAGAAAAAAAAGATCATCAGATCTAGTCTGCCTGCTGAGCAGCCAGTTATTTCTTTTCGAAACCGAAGGAAAATTGACGCGTAAAACTTAAAGAAAAGGACATCAAAATTTAAAACGGTCAGTCGGAGATTTTTTCGTCTACCGAAGAATCGGAGATTTGTTCAAAAAGCTGGTGTCACCGATCGAAAACTGGAAAGGTGGTAACCATGATCAAGATATAATTGCCTTACCGAAAAATTCCAAGGAAGGATATTATTTAAGCAAGTTTTCGCTAGATGAAATTTTTTTCTTGGATTGATCAGAGAATCCGCAGTTATTGAGAGAAATGGCAACAGTTTTCGGGTGCATGTAAACAGATATGATGAGAGAAAGAGAAAATTATTATTATTAAAAGAGAGATACTAAGAAAGAGAACGAAAGTAATGTCGAGAGTCGACGCGCGTCCGAACATGAGACGCACGTCAGTATTTTTGATATCAGTATTTGCGAATATGCTCGCATCTCTATGTCTGTCTGCCTGCGAGATGATGCGAGGTATACTCGTTACACATCTCTGCCCATAGCTCTTTAACCATGATCTTCATCATGGATGCCAATCCGATTCAGCGGAATTTTGTCCGCTACCACGGAGTCGATCGGCCGCGATCGACCTCGTTATTCCGACTCTTGTTACCGAATTCTTGCTTAATATTTAAGTACACGTTTTATATGTTTTCTCGCCAACTTTTCCGTCTCTCTTTTTTTTGTCCTTGTTTAGGATTTTTAAGCATATCGAGCAAAAAGGGGGCGAACTAATATCGCAACATCTTTCCCCTTTATTGCATCTCATCGATATATCCAATATTTAATTTCATATTTTTAGTTTTTTCTTCCTTTTCTTTTCTCTTTATTTGGAAGGTTTATCGAGCGACTTTTAGAAAGAATGTCTATTATAATGATATCTTTTATATATCAATTAATATTATATAACTATTATTATTATTAATATTATTAATAAAAAATTATTCTTTATTTCGGGTTATTTTTTAAAATCGAGTTATTTATTTTTTTTATCCAAAAACTCACCTTTCATTCTTTATTAGTGATAATAATATTATGTATTACTTGTTAATGAGTCTTTTTGATCATTGACAATTTTACTACAATTAAAAAAAAAAAATAAATAAAATCAACTACATTAAAAATTGATTAAAAGAGCTTTTTAGATCTCAAAGCGTATACAGATTTTATAGAATTTATAAAAAATTTATAAAAAATAAAATTAATCAAGAATGAATTTTCTACATAAAGTATTTATTTGCAAAAATATCTTATGTACTGATTATCTTATATATTGCTAAATAAAATATTTTCATGTATCAAAATGATATTTTACCTACATTATTCGACATTAAAAAACATGGAAAACAGAAATGAATGTTAAATGGGATATGTTATCTTGTCGCAAAGTATTAAACACCGAGTAAACTTTGTTCGGTATAATTTCAATGCTTTTTTAGTTCCTTTATATTTTATGAACTTGTGAGCTACAAGATGTCTCCGCGTGTAACTTTCTTTCCCGAGTGACAATCGGCGTTTTAATTGATATCGATCTAACCAGTGAATATTTATATTTTCAGCAAACTATAACCAGCAATGCGCCAGCGCCCAGATGTTCCCGTGTGACACTTGCAACAGACAATACCGGAGAATCATCTCTCTACAGCGTCACAAGAGACTCGAGTGCGGCAAGGAAGCTAAATTCGAATGCATGATGTGCCATGCCAAGTTCAAGCACAAGCACAGTTTGCTGAGGCATTACAACGTTCATATGTTCCATATGAGGGAATCACTCGCGGATGAGGAGAATATCGCTTGACAGGGACTCGCGAAAGAGCAATCAAAACGAGATAGCAGAAATTTTCGAATTTTTGAACAATTTCAAATTCAAAACACAGAGATGTAAAATTAATGCGTTATTCTCTCATGTGAATAATTCGAAATAAAAAACGATCGATGTAAAAATCTTTAAATATCATTACATTTTTTTTACAAAAAACTAGAAAATTTTATGCAATTATACAATAATTAGACATTATATTTGAATGCGTAATATTTCAAGCTTATTGCTTAGAATTCTTGAGTTTCCTATTCGTACTTATTTACAGTATTTACTTATTTATAGATTATTTTATTTTATATACAGTACTTTCTAGGTTTATTAGAATAGTTATACAAATAAAAACATTATTTTTAATTAAAGTTTTTTTTATATAGAAATATATATAATAAAATTATGGTGATAAAAAGATTATTAGATACAATGAATACCAAATAATAGCATATAAAGTATAAAGTGTGTAAGAATTAAAAAATCAATTAAGAACTCCCAATAATCGAAACAATAACCATGCATATAGGGATGTTGAAAGTCGGTAAAAAAATATGTAAGTTAACGTAATGAGTAAAGAAATAAATTAATCACAAACGGTCAACATAATTTTTGAAGTCTTACGAACATTTCGGCTTTAACTTCGAGTTATTCTTAGCACAATATTAGTGAGAGTTACAATAAAATATTCACAATAAATCTGCATTTTTCATTCATTTTTTCCTTTAATATTCTGCCATAGTCCAAGAGGCAATGATATTTGAAATTACGAACCTGAAGCTGCGTTGAAAATTGGATTTTCAAATACCTTCGTATTCCTCCTTCTCTTATGGCAGAATTTTATTGTAACTCATTAATATTACGCTGGTTAATAATTAAAGTCAAAACATTCGTAAAACTTCGAAGATTGTGTTGACTATTTGCGATTAATTTGTTTTTTGATTTATTAATTTGCACACCGTTTTCCACGCCGACTCCCAATACGCTTCTGTATTATACAATATTTAATTTATAATTTCTCAAAATGTTATTAAAAGCTGTTCTCTTCAATGTGTTACAATAATATGCAGAGCGATACTAACTGATGAGCAAATTAACTATATTTATTGGCGATACTTTGCAATAGAGATTCTATTGCATCTATCGAATTTTGCGAAACAATCTACGAAAATATATACTATGCTGCAAAAACTAGACTAATTGACACTAATATTAGTCCATTCATTTTCTTCCAAACTTCTTCCCTAATAAAACTGCAATTTTAAACGATTTTAGACGAATTCGAGATATTGCTTATTGTTTGATAAAAACGAGTATTGTTTGATAAAAACAATCATTTAAACTAGGATGTCCATCATAAAATCAATCTCAAATACGATGTGCGTATCAGTTCGAATCGATTCAATGCAACGTGATAATATAATTCATAGTTGTAATTAGTTAGTGTAATAAAACGTTTCTATGTTCTTTTGCTAATATCTAATTTTAATGTCCTAATTTAGATGTTTTCGTACATAGAAATATAAGAAAGAATTTTTGCGAATGAGTGAGATGCAATGTATAATAATCAACGTTACAAGTCTTTGTTTTTTTCTTACAAAATATATATCTATATTTCTCATTGAATTATTGTTATGTATATCTTGTAAACATTTTTTTTAAAATTATGAAATCTGTTCAGCAAATCTCTACCATTAAAATTTCCTACATTATTTCCTCAATGCATTTTATCTTATCATTATTGAACATTATCAACAACGTTATATTGCAATTTTATTTTGTATATTTTGTATATTTGTATATTTTGTGTGTGTGTGTGTGTGTGTGTGTGTGTGTGTGTGTGTGTGTGTGTGTGTGTGTGTGTATATATAAGATTAATTATTACATTGTATGGGGTATCACACTAACATAATTTTAGAAAATCTAACATTCACGAAAATTAAGTTCTTCATTATAAACGTTGAAAATTCGCTGAAAATTAAATGAAAAATTTAAGAGTGCATAGTTACGATTATAATTTGACTGTTTATTGTTATTTTGTAACTTTCTTTTATGAAATGCACGCCTGATATCTTTTCTATGTGATGTTGTTTGCAATTTATCAGTAATATCCTTATGTTTCTTTCAGAATATCATTACTCAAACTACCCTGCATTATTCGCGGCATTGATGGAAGCGAAATCTGCCTGTGAAGATCCTCTTGCAATCGATGCATATCAGTCTGATGAACTCAAATACACATACAAGGATTCCCATCGATCCAAAAGGAAGTACAAGACGCGTCGTAAGAAAACACGTGGAACGCTATATAAGAAAAATGATTAAAATTAATATTGAAAATTTATACATAAAACTTATTTTATGTATAAAATTACAAGCGAGAAATAATCTCGAAAATGAAATAAAAAAATTGATAACAATTAAAATTTTTACAACGAATCTTATTTACATCTATCTTATATGTGTTTAGATTTGTTATAACATTTTAATGTCATTCTAATTTAAAATTTTTATTTTCCGTTATTCTCTCTTTATATTCCGTTATATCTCTCTCTTTCTCTTTGTTTTCATTGTTCCTTTTTTATCACTTTCTTGCGTTATGTGATCTTGATGTTATTATTTTTAATGAAATTAGTGTTTTTATACATTCTTATCTGCAGTTAAGAATAAATTTATGAATAACAATATAGCTATAAGTACAAAAGATATATAGCAATTATCGATTTTTTTACATAGATCAATCTGATTTTCTTATATATGATTACTATCTATTTGAATTTTTTTTCAGTAATAATCTGTAGTTTTATGACATGTTTAATATAATAAGGAAATTATTTTAATATTTTTATAATATATATGTGTAAAGTTTAATTTATTATACATTAATTTTATCATACATTACACAATTAATTTTGTTGTATAATTAATTATATTACACAATTAATTTTATTATACAGTTAATATTATTATACAATTAATTTGATTATACATTAATTTTATTAGACATATTATTTTTAAGTATTTTAATTTCTAATGAATTTTAATCTTCTATATAAATGTTATATATAAAGCGTATTTGAATATTTATGTCATATAACTAATGTATGTTATTTCTTATTGATTATAATGCAAATTATGGCTGCGTAATAAAATAAAGAATCCATGTAAGAGAATTGTGATTAGAAATGATTCCTTAGAAATGGTTCAACCAGCACATTGTTGTCTCAGTATTAACAATCATATTTTGTTTCTCGTATATTTCCGCAGATTATTATCGCAAAGACAACTCGGGTCCTTCCTCATTCGCGAAGCATATCTGCGAGTTTTGCGGCAAAATTTACGGGACTCGGGGTTCGCTAAAATATCATCGGTTTATGGAATGCGGAAAGGAACCTAACTTCGCCTGCACCTTCTGCAGCTACAGGTCTATCAGGAAAAGCAACGTGCTCAGACACGTGCACTTAGTGCACTATCAAGAATGCTTCATCAAGTGAGGATGCATCCGTAAAACATTTCATATTGTATACGTTTCTCCGTGAACGATTCTATCCATTGTACGATTGAAATAAAGATTAAATCTTGTTTTTATAATTCGCTACTTTATTTCCTTTTTCCATCCTAATTTAGCTCGCAGAGATTAGGAATTGTTTAAGATTTAAACGAAAATTGTATAAAGTTTTTATGAACAAAACTCGTCACGTATTCACGATTATAATATTTTATTATAGAATTTTGTTATGTTGACCATATTATTCTACTTTATGTTATTTACGCATTAAAATTTTATATCATTTTAGTTATACGTGGAGAATGTCTAAAGGCAAGTAAGCTTCTTGAAACAATCTATTTATTGTAAGTTTTTTTATACTTTCTATTCCTAATCGAACAGTAGTTCATTTATTTTCGATTTTTTCAGGTAAACGGCTTGGCTATGCAACAAGACGATCGTCACTTTGATCAATATAAATTGTACATCAAATACTTCAAGACATCTGATTTGCTTTCCAATCGTCAGATTTGCGGCAAGATGAAGAAGTTTCAATACAATTTGTTACAATTATAAAGAAAATGTTTTTTTGATATGTTTTTGAATCATGTTTAGAAGCGCCTAAAGAAAAAAATATTCTGCAAATTTTTAAATAAAAGGCTGATTCGAAGAATAAATTACTAATTTGTGCATTTTTAAGACGTAAAGATTTTGTTAAAACTGACAATAACTAGGATCAATTTAAACAAAAAGATAATAAATGTGTGATAAATGACCAAATATTATATATAACATAATTTGACATATTTTGAAATATTTCGTTTACGTATATTAAACTTTCTGTTATTATTTATTTAAATTTTCTATTTCTATCAACAATGCAAGTCATTCAATCAATTATATTAAATAATATTTATGTAATTTATATAATGTCATTAAAGTATATTATAATTATATTATATT